TGTCTTCAGACCATTCCCAAAGGGGGGACTTTTCTCGTTCTAATGCACAGTAGAATTGTAAATGGGCTGATTCAACAATGTCATGCTCATAAATGTGCCTGAACTACAACAGAGAACTGCTGCTTTTTCTTTCATAATCTTTACTATCGTCATTTTTCTCTACTTCTTTTGTATGTTTGTCACAATCTTGTGACCCGCTATTTGCGGGGTGCCTTGAAAGTCGAAACAGACTTTGTGTTGTTGAAGCTAGAGAGGTGAGCAGAGTAAGCCTGATTCCCCCGTTTGGACTTCTCTGTTGGCATTCACCCCTTGGCGCTCATATTATGACCTTATGCTTTTGCGAGCGCCGTAAAAAACCCAACCTTTTCCCAGCAATATGTGACCATTATTGTGTCGATGTATTTCTCTTTACTCAAACAAATGAACAATGAAACAATTTATTTAAACATTTTGCACGTAATCCGAAAACCTGATCTTATTCTGACGTTCTTTTATACTCAGCTACTCTTTTTTAAGTTTTCTATTGCCTTTCTATACTGTACTTTATCATACATTTCAGTAAATTTCCTCAAATTCCCGTCTTGCCTAGGTTTGCCTTGCCTTCCCATAGTGTGCTGCATCGTGCCTTTCCTTGTGTTTCCTTCTCTTTCCTTCTCTTCCCTTACTTACTGAATGCTTCTTATCTTAACTCACCTGGGTATATTTGCCTTTCTGTATGGCTCTGTTCTTTTCCTCGCCTTAACTTCTTTAACTTAGTCTTATCTTGCCCGACGAGCAGTTAAACCTATCCATGTGGGTGGTTGGCGGGTTCTCTGGTGTGATTAGCGTCTTGTTTCCTGTCAAACGTCTATCGTCCTTATCTCCCCCTTTTTCTTTTTTATGTTTGTTACTCTCTTGTAACACCTCTAATCTTCTGGTACTCATATGACCTAATGCAGTTGCGAGCGCCGTAAAACCTCTACTTAAATTTTTTTTAATCTGTCCATGACAATACATCCGTTGTCGAGCAGGAAAATGGTAATCTTAGACAGGCGGTCTTTTGGACGGTGTCATTCTAATATAATAATATGTATAGAGAAAAAAAACGCAAGG